TGAAGGCCACACATCTTAAAGTTGCCAAGGTTGAGAAGCACTGGGCTAGATGTAGTCTATGCAAAGCATCTCTCTTCATGGGCAAACTTCATCTCTCTACCTGTTCACCCCCAGCAGGAAAAATAAAAGCTTTAAACCCAAAATGCTTGGGGACGGGGAACTTGTTCCATGTGTTACCGTTTATGGCAATTCAGGAGCCAGGATGCAGGCCCCAGCTGGAAATCTGGAACGCGTCACCTCCGCTTTTGTCCCCGGGGAGGGAAAACCTTGGCATTCAAACAACGCCTCGATTGTAAAGGGAGCCCCAGGAGGCTTGTTCTGGGAGGAAAAAAGCCCCGCTGAGCGCTTTGGCTTCCAACTGAAACCGAACCCGGGGCTTGCAGGTGGAAAAAGCGAAGGGGCGAGCTGGAGAGATGCCATGCGCCTGCAGGAAGAGGCCAAGGTTTGGGGTTCAGCAGGCACGGAGCCGTCGAGAGCGCTGGGAGAAACGGCACGGCTTGCAAAGCTTGGGGGCCAACGGGGGCCCCTCCAACAGCACCTTTGCTTCCTGGCTGGGTGCAGAAGAGGAATCTTTTGTACCCTGTTCCTCTCCACGCTTTGGTGGCGTTCGGGCCAGGCAGAGCATTTTTGCTAGTGTCCTTTTCCCCGACTGGCTGGAGAAAGAGAATCCGTTTGGGGAAGGGAATTCTGGGGAGACGTTCCTGCATGGTCTTAGGCTGAATGGCTGCTTTGTAGAACCACCTGGTTGACTGGTTATTGACATTTACGCCCAACTGGGAACCCCTGATAGACTTTTTGCACGAAAGGGAAAAAAACGCACCTGTGATTTGTGGTTTGGAGGATTAGGAAAAAAACGGGTAACAGAAAAAACTGAGCTTTTTTGTAATCGTGGAGTAAGAAATAATTTTGTAATTGCACTTATGTTTGCTGCAAAGAAAATTGGTAGGTTTTAAAATTTCTTTTTATTCTTTCTTTCTTTCTTTTTCTTTTCTTTCTCTCTCCCTCCTTCCTTCCTTCCTTCCCTCTCCCCTTTCCTTTTATTCTTTATTAGTTTGTGATAGTTTTTTTTTCCTTCCTAACATTCTTTGTAAAACTTTTAATAATTTTTTTTTTAAAGAAAAACCTGTTTGCCCATTAAACAAAACGGGTGGAGTTTCAATTGCACCACCATGGCACTGTTGTGACAGTTTTGACCATATCCTGCAAAAAACCCTGGGGCTATACCACTTCTCATCCCCAAAAAACAATAATGTGTCCATGAAGTCCCCGGGCGTTCAACAAAATCTTTAACGGTTCTCATTTGACTTAGATGAGATGGACTGCCCAGCACAGAGCCTCATGTCTTATTTTTATGCCTTATTGATTTCTTTATTGCCAACATTTCTCAGCTGCCTCCATCCAAGACTTGGAGTGGCTCACAACATAATCAAAACAAGGAAACAATAATGGAAGAATCATGAAATCTTCACAATATAAAAATTCTTAAAAAGGTATCTCAGCTGGGATATTGCGCGAAAAGCAGACTTTTCCTATCAGGCCATAGAGGATCCCTTGTGTAATGTGAATGTAGTGACTGTGTTTGGCTAAGCTAGATTTAGAGCTAAAGATGTCTGAATGCAAACAGCCTTGGGGAATCTCCTGACTTTTTGACGTTCCTCCGCTCTCTTTTTTGACATGCTGCGGTGAAGACAATTTAATAATAATTTATTAAATTTGTGTGGCACCCGACTCTCAACAATTCTAGGCAGTTCACGACAATCCATCCATCTATCAATCAATCGAAGAACTTACAATAGACTTGCTGATTGCTTGGAGGACCGCTCTACATTTCTCCAGTTGGTGTCATCTTACCTTTTGATTCCAAAATTTAAAATTCTCCTTCTCCTTTTGAAATGAAAAGGTGACGGTTAAAAATAAGCATGAGTTCTTTTTCCAAAGGCTCAGCAGACTATTCCCCCCGCCCCAAAGTTTCTTGTTCAGATTGATGCTGCCATCTGTTAGGCAAAGGTGGTTTGGTTTCAAAAGGGAGAGGTGGAGAAGAAGTTCTTTAAACACATTGGACAGGAAGGCTTGTTGTTGTTGTTCAGTCGTTAAGTCGTGCCCGACTCTTCGTGACCCCATGAACCATATTGCGCCAGGCCTTCCTG